AAAAATTGTTATCTAATCTTATTTCACACATAAACCATTAGCATATTAAATGGGGGAATCCATTTAATAATGAGGATGTAAATGATAATACTAACCACACTCAAACAACTGATAATTAGCATTTAAGTGATGTAATGTTTTTGGATTGATGTTATCACTCATTATAGAATATCATTTTACACTCTGGACATAGCACATTTTCCAACAAAAGAATTTTAATTTCTTCCAATAAATGTTATTTTATTTTTGATTAATGATAAGTTTTTCTCACAACAAAATATGATTCAGAAAAGGTATTTCAAAGCAATTAAAAATTATACTAATTCACAATAAGAAGCTAGTGACAATGATATTTTGGATTTTAGACTACCGAATAATGTTATTTTATTTTAGTATGTTTTGATGTTATCAGCTACTCTTATTTAAGTAGATAGAGCACCTAGCGAATTTTGAGATGCCATATTTTTTAGGCTATTTTTATACCCTATTAAAAAAATTTATGCTCCTCGTTTTTTACAAAAATCAAAGTGCTTTGCTAGCAGTTTTTTCTTTTTTTTTTTTTTGAAAACAACCCCACCACATTTTGAAATATAAAACTTTTTGAAAAACATTGTTATTTATAAAAAATACACTCATTTTGCTAGTTTCGAACAAAGCCAGCAGAGCACCTTGTTTTTTAAAGCTTTATTCTAATAACAACCACACATTTTTAGGCTATTTAGGCTCTTGAAACAAATACCTTTTCTAAAAAATTTCTATTTTTTAATAATACAGTGTTTTGCTAGAATGCAGAGCACCTCAGTTTTTCAAATATCAAGTATTTTTTTTTTCTAGAAACAACTACTTTTTGATGTATTGTAAAGCTTCTCGAAAAAAATTACAATTTTTAAAAATACGGCCTTTGTTAGTTTCGAACGCGTCCAGTAGAGCACCTCGGTTTTTTAAGTGTTTTTTTTTCCCTAAAAACATCTATCCGACATTTTAGACTCTTGAAATATTATAAAATAGGAATAGGGGATGAAAGTTTGTATGGGACTATTGATTTTTTTGTTCTCTTTGAAGTTAGAAACATGAAAATTGGTATTGCAGCTACTGACTACAAATTATTAATGATGTGTTTGAGGGTTTTTGGATTTTCACATTTTAAGGGGGGTAAATGGGGGATGAAAATTTATTTGGGATTATCTATGTTTTTGGTTCTCTTTAAAGTTAGAAACATAAAAATTGAAATTGCAGCTAATGAATACAAATTAATAATGACGTGTTTTAGGGTTTTTGGATTTTCACATTTTAAGGGGGGGGGGGGAATGGGGGTGAAAGTTTATTTGGAGATATCGGTTTTTTTAAAGGTAGGAACTTGAAAATTGGAATTGTAGGTTCTCATAATAAATAAATAATGAAGTGTTTCAGGATTTTTGCATTTTAACATTTTAAGGGGGGAAATGGGAGGTGAAAATTTGTTTAATAGTATATATAATGATGTGTTTCACAGTTTTTGGATTTTCTCATTTTAAGGGGGGAAACGGGAGTAAAAATTTGTATTTTTGAACGTTGGAACTTGAAAATTATAATTTTAGTATAAATGAATAATGACGTACTCTGTGGTTAGATTTTTGTATGGCAGATTCATGAAAATAAACTAAAATTAAAAAAAAAATAGTTATTAAAAATTAATAAAAATTATTAAAAATTAATAAAAATTAATAAAAATTAATAAAAATTAGTAAAAATTAATATAAATGAATAAAAATAAATAAAAAGGAACAAAAATGAATAAAAATGAATGAAAATGAATAAAAGTTAATAAAACTGAATAAAAATGAATGAAAATGAATAAAACTGAATAAAACTTAATGAATAGAAATGAATAAAAAATAAAAACAAATGAATAAAAATGGATAAAAATGAATAAAAATTAATAAAAATAAATAAAAATGAATAAAAAAAAATAAAAATGAACAGAAATGGATAAAAATGAATATAAATGGATAAAAATGAACAAAAATGAATAAAAATGAATAAAAATGAATAAAAATGAATAAAAATGAATAAAAATGAATAAAAGTGAATAAAAATGAATAAAAATAATTAAAAATGAGTAAAAATAAATAAAAACGAATAAATATGAATAAAAATCAATAAAACTAATAAAAATTAATAAAAAAGGAAGTCATGTATTTTTTTTATATTAATAACACGACTACATACGAGCAAAGTCGCGAGCAAAGCCGCTGGCAACATCTAGTAATCATATAAATATATAAAAGAGAAACGCATCTGGATGAAGTTTGGCACAAATATAGATTATAGTCTGGAATAGCACATAGGTTAATTTTTATCCAAAAAAAAAAGTGCGGTTCCCGTGGGATCGATTTGTTTTTGTTTTTCACAGAGGATTGGACATAATTTATTGCATAGGGGTAGTGAAATTTGAAAATTTGAAATACTGCTACTGAGAATAAATAAATAATAACGTGTTTCAGGGTTTTTAATTTTTCTCATTTTAAGGGGGGGAAACGGAGGTTAAAAGTTTGCATGGAAGCATTGATTTTTTTATAGGTAGGAACTTGAAAATTGGAATTATAGCTACTCATCACAAATAAATAATGGTGTGTTTCAGGTTTTTGGATTTTCATATTTTAAGAGGGGAAAGAGAAATGGGGGTAAGAGGGGAAATGAGGGAAAGAAGGAAAATGGGGAAAATGTGTGGGGAGTGAAAGTTTGTATGGTAGGAACTTGAAAATTGGAATTGTAGGTACGCTTCATAAATAAATAGACATGTTTCAAAGTATTTGGATTTTACATATTAAGGGAGGAAATGGAAGGTGAAAGTTTGAATAAGACTTTCGGTTTTTTAATTGTAGAAATTTGAAAATTGGAATTGTAGCTGCTCATCATAAGTAAATAATTACGTATTTCAAGGTTTTTGGATTTTCACATTTTAAGGAGGAAGGAAACTGGGAAGTATCGTAAAAATAAAAAAAAACAAAAAAATAAATAAAAATAACTAAAAATAAATATAAATAAATAAAAATAAATAAAAATTAATAAAAAGTAATGAAAATTAATAAAAATTAATAAAAAAAATTTCCAGGTATCACATGAAAAAATTTCTCTCGAATAACAAAAACTGTTATTCACTTTTAATAATTGAGGTTTGAGAAATTCCAGCGAAGCGGGATCGGGGCAACTAGTATTAATTTTAATATATGGTGCACACATAGGTGAAGGCCTAGTCTCAAATAAAATTAAAAAAACTGTCATAAGCATTTTTTATAAAGCATGGTTCTTTTTAAAACTTATAATTACTATATCTCATGAACTAAAGATGATATCAGAAAAATAAAACCTCACAAAACAAGTAATTTTGTACTCCTGGTCTAAAAATATTTAATGTATTTTTTATTAGTTTTGAATGATATGTAGGGGGTTGATATTTATTTTTATAGTCAATCTATACAAAAGTGTATTAATAAAACAATTTTCTTCTACAGCTCAACACTATATTTTCTCATTATTTTTAATTAAGAAATGAGGTACATTGTGTGACATATAATTTCATTGCCTTGTCTGATATCACAAAGTAGCCGTTCCCTTACTATCCTGATAAAAATAATGTATGCAATGGCAAACATTTAAACAAATAACTAATTAAAAATGGTTTAGAAAATTTTAACAATTAAGAATATAACAGTAATATTTTTACATCATTCAAGTGTATTCATCCACAAAGTAGTATGCTTTTCTCAGAAGTAACTTTGTTACTGTGGTCTTGAATCCTAGGCAATGGTAGTGCTTTTATATCGTGGGTATGTTGGGTATGCCTTGATACCCTTAATTTCGGGATCATTTCAGTTTTGGAGTGCCTATGAGGTGGTATTTATTAAGTAGATGCATTTCTTGTATTGTGGGTTGTTGTTACTTACACTTCCAAATGAGGAATTATTTGCTTTTACACATAAAAAAAATTGAAAAATATTAATTGATGGTCTAAGGGGTGATGGGGACAAGGAAGGTTCTAAGCATTTTTTGATATTATCTTTATATAGCCATTGTAAGTTTTAAATTGTCACACTGTATAATATGTAAGTAATAGGTGTTTGACATAATATAACCTTGGACCACAAATACACCTGTTCTCATGGTGGATTTAATTATGATCATGCATTAACGATAATTAATTAACATTAACTAATTAATTATAAACTTATCATATCAAAAAAAAAAAGAATAATGGTCATTAACAAGAATATAAACATTTATAACAGATCAAGCTTGAAATGGGAAACTGTTTGATAGTATTAATCTCATTAAAAAAAAAAAACAATGTTCTTTGGGTTTTTCATTTCTTAAAAATTGAAGTTCATTAGTTAAAAATAAATAGAAACATTAATAAAATAAAAGTTTATTACATTTTTTATTATGATTGATATATTAAACCAACATACTTATTTGAATTACTTCATTTCTATAAAGTAAAAAATTATTATTTTTAGTATACAAACATTTGTTAGTTGTAAATTATCATAAATAAAGATCTTAAAATAAATCAAATTTTAGGATTTCAGGTTGCTGAAAAAATACAATCATAATTATTGTTACATCAAACATTAGAAGGAAATAACTTGACAAACACTAACCATAGCAATTTTAAAGTAAATTGGTTAGATGTATTATTGACTGTTACTAGTTAGTTGATGTAATGATTCACACAATTTTTTTAAATTTCAAGGAAGATACACTCATCAACCTTTTTGATAGCAGTGGGAGGGGCAGATTTCAATGTCTTTAATTATTATGCCAGAAACGTTTTGCCATAAAACGAGGACATGAAAATATTCTGCGATAAAATACCATATTTTAAATAAACACATCGCTATAAAAAATATAAATAAACATCTTAGCATGAGATAATTGAATTGAAACTCAACAAGTTGCACTTCCAATGTATAAACACAAAACAAAAACAGTTTATTTGAAGCGTCAAATGTTTTGTTTACCTATTCCGTAACTCTTTTCATTGTTCACTGACTTCCAATCACTCATTTTAACTAAATAAAAAAATATTTATAAATATACACAAAAAACTAATCACAAACAAAAACACTGGAAGACATTTTGAATCATTTCATGCGTTTTAAATTTACGTCCTTGTCCACTCCCACTTCACTGTCGCTGTTCCACGCGCTTCTCCGTGCACTCCTCTCATTTAAAACTAATTCCAGCAATTATATATCAACGTTGCCAAGTTCACTGAAAATCTTGAAACTTGAGAAAATTTTGTACATTTTAATAAAAATTTTAAAGTTGAGAAATGTAAACAAATATATTGTTGAAAAACTGATTAATAATATGTGGAGTGATTCACAAAAAATGTTTTTAAAGTAGACCTTGGAAAAATTCAGGTATGTCGGATCGTACAATTCTTCGTCCTTTTAAAAAAAGTGTAATCAAAAATGCGACTACCTATAAGCACACTTTGATTAATTTGAAGTCAATAATTTTATATTTAAAGATTGAATAAGGAATGAAAACGTATTTATATCATTTAAATAAAGCTGTTTAAAAAAATGGCACTTTTTTATCACCAAAACTGACTATAGCTCCAGTTAGGAGATAAAAGTTTGATATATAAAAGTAAAGGTGAAATGCAAAGATGCGGACATTTTTATAGCATCTCTTCTTTGTTCTATTTCAGTTGTTTGAATTTAATTCAGAGCCGTGCGAGGTTATCACGAGGTTATCTGTTTTTGTCGGTCATGATCTACTTTAGAAATATTTTTTGTGAATCGCTCATTTTTATATATATTAGGAGGACACATAGTTTTTTGGATTTGATCATGTTCTGTAATTTACTTGAAAATTAAAAATAGCAAAAACAATAGACCTATCCCCTTATTGATGGTCTCTATTACTCATGTGCAAATCCTACTTCCTCTTAAAGTCACCAAATTTTTTTGTTTCCTACGGAGTGTTATTTATATACATCCGTAAATATGTTTACGTTTATGATTTGGTTTTTACTAGAGATGTGGCAAAAATCCGTGCAAAAAAAATACACAACCAACTCGATGAAAGTGGCTTGAAGCAACGATGACGGGGGTATTATTCATTGTAGCTAACTCTAACAGTTTCAGTTAGTGCGAGGGTTAGAAGAGAGATAGAAAATAAGTTGTTTAAAAAATTAAAGTCACGCATTTTTTTGGCGCATCGCATGAATAATGCGAAATGATCGAATACGGGAAAGGTATATTTCGTCCACAAGTTTTTCTTGGAAAATCCCAATACCTATATGCACTTGATACCTTGCAAGACCCGCGCCAATAAGTTGCCTCTGCTTTCGTTCATAACGGCCCGTAACGTCCCTGAGTGTTCTTACTTCATGTACATTAATTTTGGGTGATTCTGCGGGGTATCTACGTTATTTTTAAAGATAGAGGGTTGCGGTTTTCGCGACACTTTGGTACTTTTTCGTAAAACTAAAGATACCGTTAACAAAATTTTCATAGCCCTTTTACTTTTTATACAGGGCATTTTTGAAAATGTTGCATTTTGGGACCCCCTGTAACTCCTTTGTCCTTCAACTCATCGAAACGGAAAAATAACATTCTTATAGAGTTTTTCAGTAGAAATGCAGTGGTGTTGATAATTTTTGTTACATCTTTAATATTTTTGAGTTATAAATCAAACTGTATATTTATAGACTATAAAATTTGTCTTTTTTACCTTTTCAAAAATATATAATATTATGCACTTTTTCTCAGAAACACGTAAATAAATGACAATTTTCTAAAATTAAATGCATAATTTTATAGTAGGTCACGGATAACAATAATAAAGAAATTAATGTTACATATTACTAATGAAGAATTTGATACCTCATATGTATATTTTTATAAAAAAAATACCTATATAGAGTTTTTTCATAACTGTAAGTTTGATTCTTTTCGAAAATCCGGTCATTTTGATAATTCGTACAGGGTCCGGTCACAATTAAACCGGATTATCAACGCTCCACTGTATATCAATCTATACAAAAGTATTTTAATGAATTGATACCTTGTTGCTGCGTTTGAAAAGTACCTAGTTTTGCTTTTTTTACTCGATACCGCGCTTTTTGCTACGTTTGCTCCATTGATTTGGTTTGCTTGATGTCATGTGACCAAAAAATCTACTCGCTCTGCTCGATGAGGTACATTTCATTAAATAGGGTTGCCACCTGTTCTTTTTTGAACAGGATAATCCTTTTTTCAAGCAAAATGTCCTTGCGACTTTTTAAAGCTTAAAATGTCCTTTTTTATGGCATATTTTACTCTTTGATATATTGGCTTGTACAAAAATATACAAGGTGAGAAGCAGTTTTTTTTTCTAGAAGCTTGGCGCAGAAGGACGTGGATTTATTTTTACACATTTGTTTACTTTTTTTTTAGAAGCTCAATAGAAAAGGACGGAGGACTTTTTTGTTGTACATTCGTCGACCTTCTATTTTTTGTTTTTTTTTTAAATTCAGTAAAAGGATGAGGACTTTTTGTATACTGGATCCCCTATTAGCATCATAGTCCTTTTTTCACTTTCCAAAAAAGTAGCAACCCTAATTTCAAACGTAGGAAAAGTTGAAAGTAATGAGAGGTTGAAAATGAGTGAGATGATCTCATCGCCTTTCACTGCGACCCAGATGAAGCTATTGTTGCTCAAAGTGGGCCCCATACAATCTAAACATTTAATTTTTATTTTATGAAAATATTTGCTTCATTTTTAAGGTAGGCAGTACTTTGGCAACCTTGGAAATCCATTCCGAAAGTTATCAATTGGCATTTTTGGGTTTTGATTTTTAGATGTATATCTTTTACTATTTACTTGGAATAAAAAAGGATAAAAGCATCACGAGAATTGACTGTGGAACGGACCTGACTGTAATTTGACTTTTGTGACATCTAAAATATCTGTCAACGTTAACCTTTCAAATGTCAAATATGTATTTTACAAACGCAAATAAAAAAGTGTTACTCTTTTTTTGTCTTTTTGCATTTTCACACATGCACACATGGTTTGTATTTAATTAAATAATTCTTCAACTTCAAATAACGCAAGAGACGAATATGGCTGATGAAGACGAAATTGATATTTTAGGAGATTTTCAACTCGACAGTGATTCCAATTTGTAGGTGAAATGAATTTTTGTAAACAAGTTATATATCTTTTAATAACTAATTAGAAAGAGCAAACCTTGATTTCAGGTATGATGGTGGCCCTTTAATATCTCAAAATTCTGAATTACTAAATTGCGATTATACAATTCACCCTCAGTGGCTTCTAGACCGACCGAGCACTAATCCAGACAATTGGTACGATACGGACACATTCACCAGTCTCGCAGAAAAAACATTACCTGAAATTGACCCAGTTGTTGGTCATTTATCCACAGAAAACAGCATTACTGATGAAAGTGGTTGGACAGAGAAAGAAAAGAATTTGTTAGAAAGAGGCATTGAAATTTTCGGTAAAAGTAATGTGAGATTATCCCAATTTATTGGATCGAAATCAGCACCTGAAGTTAGATATTATTTGAAGAATTTTTATTTAGAAAATCACTCAAACAGGAAAAGTAGTGAATGTGCATTGGAAGGAGATGTTTTAGATGATGCACAGGTAAGCATTCTTACTCTAGTTATTTGAATAAATTAAAACTGTATACTATATTTCATTTTAGATTCCAGCTAGTATTGAAGAAGTTATAGCAGCAGTGAGTACAGGCAAGACTACTGTTCAACTACCATTTAACAGATCAAGGAAAAAGAGTCACTCTAACAGTACATCTACTGATCCCAGTGATAGAGAATTAAGTAGAGACCATTCTCCTCAGACACCCAGAAGAAAAAAATTGAATTTTGAAAATTCAACTAGAAAAAATGTAACTAAAAGTTCTGGTTTAAAACTAAAGAAATCACCTGTTGCAGGAGTTAAATTTAGGATCAAATCTAAATTAAAAATTCCTTTCAGTTACGATAAGGTTATCAAGCAAAAAACTGTTAAAATTATCAATGCAAAAAGTAATATTGATGAAATCAAAAGGGTTGAAATTACCACTGGACATGGCCTATCTGTACCAATTTGTGAAGGTGAAGAAATCGTAAGTATTGTAATTATTGATCATAATTTTCATCGAAAGATTAACAAACTATTTGTATGGGGCATATTTCTAATTATGAATGTTTTAAGGTAAAATGTATGAATTTCATATTTAAACACCTTATTGAGAAACTGTTAGATTTATAAAATTAAGTTAACTAGTTAATGTGTGAACTCTGTATTGTATTCAGGTTCTGTCTCACGATTGAGAACATCCCCAGACATTTTTAGATTTAAATTATAATCAGTCATATTAAAAAAAAACCTTTTTTATTTCTATAAGAGTGCCTTTTTGATGTTTTATTTAGGATAGGACAATGTATGGTTAATATTTTCCTATAAATATAAAATTATTAAAAATACAAACCATATTCCCATTAATAGGTTTAAAAATTTACTTTGCTAGCAGAGAGTCATTTTTTTAAATTTCTATAGTAATATACCATACTTATTATTTTATATTAGGCATAGCCGTGCTTTCACAGTGAACATGTGGCAACTACAATATCCCCCCTATCACTATGCTCTCTAGCTTAGTGCCTCACATTCAGTTCGACTAATATCCCACCACCATATCTTCTAATTCTAGTCGATGACTGGCTGTTGCCATTTTATTAATTTGTGTACTAGTCGTATGCCTAACAAGAAAAATAAGCACTGTATAAACTCATTATTAGATAAATAACCAGTACTACTAAAAAAAATTGGAAACAGGTCGATTTATGATTCATTTGCTGTTTTTTTAAAATAATCTATTATATAGGATAAACTACCTTCATGTGTTGACATCATCACCTTTTTTTTTAAATGGAACACCACATTTTTTCCAATTTACGGATTTCCCTTGCTGAGCTGATTCCAAAAATGTATCACATATTGCTTTAAATTGGTATACAGAGTGTGCAAAAATACAAAAGTTGTTTATAGATTTATTAGGCATTGGGTAAATTAATAATACTATTCAAAACTCCTTAAACAGGTTGACTTTTAATTTGCTGTTGATGACGTCATTGCTAAACATTACAAGTTACTTGCAAAATAAGAAATAAATAATAAACGCAATAAACAAATTAAATATAAATTGCACATTATTATACCTATAATTACTTTGAAACTATTAAAAACATTCTCTATATTTTTATCATTATATCTAACAGCTTTTAAGTGTGTTCCTAGTCCCTCAACTATACTGTATTATTTTTATTGTTTGAAAGTATTTGTTTTACGATTTTTTTTTTTTTACCTTAAAAACATTAAAATACAATGCTTTATTAAAAAAAAACTTTATTGTCCAAACAGGTTAATAATTTACCCAATAGAACAGCATTGTCAATTCCCCTTTCTGGATAAATCCCATCAATTTTAAATGCAACATATTTCATAAATCTGTGATGGATAGATTCAATAAGTAACTTATGGGATATATACATGGGTGACCAAATCAGTGCCCCATATTCAAGACGTGATCTTACAAATGAGTTGAATAATACAATTAGTCTATATTTCTGAAATCCTTACAACTTATCAAAATGAGCCCAAGCATTCTCTTAGCTGTGGATGTAATGTTAAATAAATGAGGTAAAAAAACTTAACTTCTTATCAAATTCAACTCCCAAATCCTTTATTGTCTCCACTTCCTCAAGTGGTTTATTCTGTATTGAGTAGTCAAACTGGATGTTATTCAAGCGTTTGTTTGAAAATCTCAGGAACTTGCATTTTTGAATTTTAAGAGGCAATTTATTAGTAATACACCAATGGGCCCGTTCACTTTCATTTTTGAATGTGAATTAATTATATATTTATAAAGATATTAAACTCTTTTGTCTGGTGGTACTTTTCCCGGTAAGATATTTTTGCTAGAAGTAAGGGAATTCCCATAAAATTCTTTCAGTGACTCATTGCGTCAGAAAATCCCTAATTCCGTTCACGTCTCGTATCGGTTATGCTTAAAGACGGCGAGGTTGTCGGAAGTATCCCTAATATAGCATTTCTGCATTTATATATGTAATTTAAATAGTAAAATTCCATTATTTTTCTAAAAATCATGAACTTATATTTTCAGATTTAAAGCTGGGAGCTTATTTTTTACTTTTTAATTGAAACAATTATTATTACTCAGGCTGAAAATTAACCAGACCATAATCAAAAAGTAGAAATTTGATTTGCAATATTTATCTGGTAAACGTGGCAACGTTGCATTTATTTCTAGAAGTGGTAGACAACACTATTTAGAAGTACTTACAACGTTGTCACATTTACCAGATACATTTTCTCAAATAAAATTTCGATCTGGTAATATTCAGCTTGAGTAATACTAATTGTTTTTATTAAAATTTAAAAAAGGTAAGGCTTCCAGCTTTATCTGAAAATATAAACACATTATTTTTAAAAAATAATATATTTTTATCATGTAAATTTCCTTAATAAATGCAGAAGAGGAATGGTGGTGCAATGATACATCTGACAACCGCGCCCTTTTAACTATTAACGATACAAGACCTGAAGGGAATTAGGGATTTTCTGATGCAATGAGTCACTGAAAGAATTTTATGGGAATTCCCTTACTTCTAGCAAAAATATCTTAATGGGAAAAGTACCACCAGACAAAAGAGTTTAATATCTTTAATAATATATAAATAATTCACATTCAAAAATGAAAGTGAACGGGCCCATTATTTAAATCATTTTGTAAGTCTATACAATCGTCTTGTGAATTTATGGCACAAATAAACTTGAAATCATTGGCAAATATTAAATATTCCTTCTTAAACTCTTTGGCTATGTCATTAATAAAAATTGAAAATAATAATGGAGCCAGATTGCTTCCTTGAGGCGCTCCACTGGTAGCAATAAAAAAGTTTAATTTGTGACAACATAAACTGAGCGAGCAGTTAAATATCTCTTAAAAAAGTCGAGGATATGGGAAACGAAACCAAGATTATATAATTTCTGCAAAAGAATACTGTGATCTAACCTATCGAAGGCCTTTGAGAAGTCTGTCTATATTGTATGTACTTCTAGTTGTTTATCGAGTGCATTGCATACTCTCTGAGTGAAACACATTAAATTGGTGACAGTCTACCTCTTTGATATACATCCATGCTGTTGTGAAATGATTCTTGGTCTGACCAAAGGAAATATTCTATTATAAACAGACATCTCAAATACCTTCACAAAGTTAGAAAGTATAGTCACTAGGCAGTAATTTGTGATTGCATTAATTGGTCCACTTTTGTGAACTGGACATATTTTGGAATATTTCCATAAATCCGGGAATACTTTCTGTTTGAGAGAAATATTAAATATTTTTTCCAGAGGTTTGCTGAGTGCACCAGCACAATCCTTAACTGTGAAACTTGGAATATTATCAAAACCAGATGTTTGTTTTGACTTGAGTTTTTTTTAGAGCATTAAATATATCATCTTCTGATAGCGTTCTTAAAGAAATAAGTTTTGAATCTCCACAAGTATTTATGTTATTATTTATATTAGGTGTAGATTGAGTGAACACTTTTAAAAAAATCTGCAAAAGCATTTACTATGGACATAGGCTCATTAAATTTGTTGTTATTGTGAAACATTATGCCTGGAATTTTAGATTTTATATTTCTCCTTAAAGATTTAAATTGGATTAGATAGTTCTCATGTTTTGACAATTTAAATTTTTTATGCACTTATGAATTTCTTTTAATAAGTTGTATAATATCGTTATCAAACCAAGGAGGGTACTTTCGGGCCCTAACTTTCCGACGAGGGACATACATATCAAAGATTAAATAAATGTGACCATAAAATGCACTCAGAGCATCATTTACATCAGGATGGTTATCTAAGAAAGACTAATCCGTATCATATAAGTGGCGATATAGTAACGGAAAATTGGCTTTTCTGAAGTTATAATTATGTACTTCCGAATTGGCTACAAAAATGATCGGGCCAGAAGCGTAATTTAAATCAATTCGTAATGACGGGTGATATTCATGTACAAAAGGAAGATCATCTTTATATACATTACAATTAATATTAGCATATATTAAATCCAACAACCGATCCCTTGAATTGAGAACTGAGTTATATTGCTGTAAGTCATAGAAATTTGCAAACTGTTTTGTGGCAGTTAAATTTAGATCACCAAAATGCATCTCATCAGTTGTAAAGTTTGGGAGATTATTGTTGAAGCATTAAAGTAGGTACTTTTATGTGAAATCTATCCATTATAATTTATCATATCATAAATTTACAACCTGTTTTTTTTTTAAATGCCTTTAACTGAAAATGAGAGGATTGGAATATTAATGATGATTGGTGTTGGTGATAGCATGTGAACTCAACAAGAGGTATGCAGAAGAAATGAGACAAACAATCTTTATTGGGGTAATCCCAGTGCGGGATTTTGAATATCTAAAGTCTTCAGTATCGAACATTTTTAAAAGAGTAAAATACCTTTCTGATAAAGTACATGTCGTCCATGCATTGTCGAAGATGACTTTGACTGAAGAACTGATTTGTATAAATTTAATTGATAAAGATTTATATTCAGACAAGACATTTTATTTGAACGAGCATGTTAACTGGCAAAACACCTGTTATTGGTCTGATGAAAATCCACACTGGATGCAAGAAAACTATATGCAAAGACCACAAAAATCAACGTTTTGGTGGCAAATCCGGAAATTGGAAAAAATAGTAATTTCATCACATGAAGGTAGTACACCCTGTATAATAGACTGCTATTTCATAAAACAGTAAATTTAAATAACAAATTAACCTGTTTCGGGAATTTTTGATAGTACTGTTTATTGAATGTTCCATTTAAATAAAAATGGTGATAACGTTATCACACAAAGGTAGTTTGATTATTATAAAAAAAAACATTAAATCTAAAACAAAAATCGACCTGTTTTGGGAATTTTTAATAGTTTTGTTTATTTAGATTACAATAAACTGATGTGTTACTTTAAGGACGCACTGTATATGCTTTGTCTTTTCACTGTTTATATTATTTTTAGATTGCCTTATTTTTCTACATATTTGACTTTATATCGATACCTTTTTGCCAGACTGACGTAATCGACATTTGTTCAAATGGCACTTACGATAGTCTAGCAAAAAGATATCGATATGTTCGGTTATAACACTATAATAATATATAAATAAATAAAATATTCTAATTTTAATTTTGTTTTATTTACTTTATTGCTTTCTAATTTTCATTTAGTATATTTTATGTATTTAAAAGGTATTTTTTACATAATTTTTGACACCTAGTATCATTAAATTTCATTAATTTTAAAATGTATGGTAACTTTAGTGAAATTTATTTTTTAGATTAAATTAAAACATACTTCAGAAGATTCTGATACAGACATAGATATAGATGTGGAATCTTCAGACAATGAATCTCAGATTAAAAAACTTGATTCCTCAAAATCCATTATTGACAGCCAATCAAAACCAAATACAAAACTGGAAACTAATGTTATAAATTCACATGTACCAACAAAATTTTCTCAATTCGAAAAATCTGTTCCTACTTTAAATGCTCTTGATTTATCAGGAGTTAGTGATTCTGTGTTAAATGAATTGATGAGTTTAGAGGAGCCAAAAAGTGAGTGCAAATTAAATGAACATGGTATTACCGATTTGGAGAAAATCGTGCATGCTGAATACTTTTCAGACAGTTCTACTAAAACACCTGAAAGATATGTCAAGGTAAGATTCTTTTAGATGCAGAGCTGCTATTGCAAAATAATATGCATTTTTAATTTACCAATTGTCTGCCCTTGACTAAATTGACATTTTTTCGTAGAATTTTCATTTTGACTATAAGAGATATTAAATTTATTATAAAACTTTAGTTTGATATAGATTTATATCATGTTTGTTTAAATTATAATTTGCATCGGTCATAAAACCATTTTAGGCATGTACACATGCTCGTTTGCTCTTTTCACGTCTGCGTTTACTCTTACTTCATAGCTGCATATCTCTTGATTAATCATCAAAGCATATATTTTTAAACATTACATTTTTGTGGGCAACATTTACTTTAAGTAAATTTCCAACATTGGTACACAAATAATTATTTTGATTTGAATATATTCTATCAGAAAAAATATTACTCTTAACATAAAATTTTTGATATTTCAGGTGCGCAATCATATTTTACAAGGTTGGCACTCGCAGAAACCAAAATATCTGAATAAAACTGTAAGTCGTCAAGGGTTGAAAAACTGTGGTGACGTTAATTGTTTTGCTAGGATACATTATCTCCTAGAACAAATTGGAGCAATTAATTTTGGATGCGGTAAGATCTATATTAGTCGTTTCCCTCACTTTTTGATTTTATTTTAAATTTATTCCGATTCTAGATCAAGTGAGTTATGAGAGACCTTTACTTGATTTTCTAAAAGAGAAATTAACCACCAAAGAAAAGAAAAAACAAGAAGTCATTAAGGAATGTAAAAAAGAGTTTAATGTCCCAGTTGGTAGAGTTAGAAATAAAAAGAAATTTAACCACGTAAGGTTTAAGGTTTCTTTAGAGATATTTTTTGTAATTTAATATAAAAGTTATATTTAAATTTCAGGCTAAATAATGGTTTGTTTTGTATTGCTTAACTTTTTTTAGGATGGAGAAGGGGGATATACAATGTCACATGATGAAAATGGTGTAATTATTAAACACACAATTATTAATGAAGATCCGATTGTTAAACAAAAACAGTATATCAAAAAACCAACGATAAGGCTTATATACTGTCGACCATTCAAAGATGAAAAATTGGTAAGCTCCGTTTTTGGTGTTCCTCAATGTTTAATACTGGGACCTCTACTTTTCATCATGTACTCAAATAAATAATTTCATAATTTTTAGCAACCTTATACAATAAAAATACACCTTTCGACGCTACTGACGATGGACTTTCACGCCCATACGTGTTTGACCGAAGTTATGGGACTCATTGCCGGTTACTGGGAACCTCAAAACAAAACACTTATCATTACGCACTATGAACCTTGCCTGAATGTCGCCTCATCCGCTACACATTGTGATATGTGTCCTATCTCACAAGCAAAGGCAGCAGACAGTATCCATGCTATGGAATTGGATATATTAGGGTAATATTTTGATAATGAGTAAATATGAGTATAATTTTCGATTTTTGGTAAGTATCTGAACTCAATAAGATAAATTTTTTATTGATTTGTATGTTATCAACATAGTCTCGGACATAAGTATGGGATATCTTACCTGTGAGACAAGGTGTTCTTCAGGGACCCATTATAGGGCATTTCTTATTTTCCTTATATAATTATCGTCATATTTTATTTTATAAATTCTTTCTTCTTTAGTTCTGAAAATACTAAAAAAGAGAGATCACTTTTCTGGGGGCTTTGTTTTAGAACGGCAAACTAGATAGGAGGGCTCATGCCTTTTTTGGTTACATCTATTCGCTATTTAAATTAATTTTCCCGTGCTTGTCATTTGTCACATAAGTAGGTGACTTGTTTGTTTACATTGTGTTAGCCTTATGGTGGGATTGTGTATTTTTATTTTAACACTTTTTGTTTTAAAACACTTTCAGATTAAAACAAAAAAAATACATTATGTAAACAACTTGCCTTCAAATTAACAAAAATCTTCATCTGTGAAACGAAGAGAACAGACTCTCATTGAGGCAGAAGAATGTTTCCCAATTTTTTTTATTTTAAATGGTTACTCTTTACATAATATACATTACAACAAATGAACAAACTTAATGCACACAAATAATAAATTTTTAAACGGTGAAAAATTACTAATGACTTACTGACCACAAAAATCACATATGGTAGTGTTTCAAACTAATTATTGAATAAATTTTAAATTATTTAAAGCGATTTCATACAAATTCGTATATAAATGTAGACTGTGATCTCATATTGGTACACAAAGTCAGCTACTTAAAAAAGGGCATCAGCATTCCGCTATGGTTGGCAACACTCTAACATGCTTACTTACAAACATGTTTTTTCTACGCTGATATAAGTTGCGACCACACATCCCTTTAACCTTTTTTGGTTCCTCTTATTATTAAAATCAAATTTGTATGTAAAAGATGAGTTCAGATACTAACCAAATTAAAATCGTATGCCAAATCAGGAGAAACATTGTAACAGTTACAAACTGTTTTAGATGGTTTCATTCCCATCCTACCTTCGCGCCAGAACCCTCGCATCAAGATCTGGAAACCCAGCAATCGGTGCAGCAATGGATCGGCCAGAACAAGCCCTGCATCGGAATGATTCTTTCTCCGTTCAGTCTGAACGGGGCGCTGATCGCGTCGCCGTTTCGATGTTTGATCGTCGACAGAAAGATCAATTTCGAAGACCAGTTGGTGCCTTACAAATTCAAAGTCGATATAGTCGAGGGTGGTTTTCAGATAGGCGAGTTTCTGAGTAATTTGAGGAAAGTGATCAAGTGCGATTTTGGAACGGGCGAGAAGCATCGAGTCGATTTCAGTAAGCCTTACTTTCATGAGAGCAGCATTACGTTTCTAGAAAAGGTAAGCTTTCGATTGTCTAAAAATAATTTTTGTATATTTTTTTTTTGTTTTCACTAGTAATACCACTAGAGGTCAAAAAATTTCCTGATATTAATTTGACCTCGCGTGGTATTCGGTAAGAAAATTCCACGCCGAATTATGGTTGAAAATTAAATATTTTTAAAATTTATTTTTCGTTTCTCAACAATGTAAATTATTTTCTCCAAGTCACCAGTGAAACATAAAAGGTGTTGTCGCCTTGATTGTTGAGTTGTCATGGTAACTAAGTGAGACCCTAACCTCGAATATAATTTCAGTTTTGAAGTTGTCAAGCGGACCGACGTAAAAAAATGTTTCGCTGCAATTATTTAGGCCTTCAAATTGCTTATTTCTACTCATTGTAGTTGCATGGGAATACCATTTGAAAATAGAAAATAGTATATTCTTTAATTTTACGTAAGTTTTGAATAACTACAAGTGGTAGAAAATTGTTTTTCTGCGTTTTTATTAACATGCGTTATGAGCGCTTTAAAATGGTATGAAATTCATAACCAGCGTCAGCAAGCATCAATCGTAGGAGGCTGTGATCATTGTATTTTGACAGTTCAAAACATTAAATAACTCGCGTTTTGTTGCGATAAAGAATATTGCACAGCAAGTAAAACCAACAAAATTACCTATTTGTTTAAAAATGAATCGATTTGAAAATCATACGCTATGCAAAATATGCGTGAAATTGTCTGATGTAATGATCAATCATTGCACCATGACTTACTCGGATTAATAGAGGATTGTGGCTCCAACTTGAAAAACGAAAATTTGTTCCGAATTGTCCACGAATATTTGCACCTAAACTACGCAAAATTCAAAGTGCTGAATGGGAAAAAGGTGAATAAATTAAGTGTCTAAATATTATATATATTTTATTAGACATAGACACATAATTCAAAGCATCCAAAGTCCTGCATTTTCGCCATTAAGAAGAAAAGAAGTGGCCGAAGAATATAGAAAACACCTTAGCATTGTAACTAAAATGTATCAAAACTAAACCTATTATGTGAACAAATAAAAACCAGTCTGTCAAAAATGGTCTGTTATTGTAAACGTCAAAAAATTTTCAGTATAATTCGCTGTTGGGTACCCCACGAGAAAAAAATTTCCACTAAAATACCTCCGTTGCCATGGTGATCTGTCAAAAACACGTATTTTGATTGGTTCAAAATTACAGGTGTGGAATTTTCATTGAAATACTTATTTCATCTGTTTTAATAAACTATAACAGTTCAACGTATGGATTTTGAAGACGGATGATAGATTCGTTGGCGTCAAGTGTCTATTATTTTTTTCCGCTATACTCTAACCCAATATTTTTATTTAATCCGAGATATTTTTCTATAACTGTCTATTTTCCTGCTACATATCTATCGTGGGTAGGCAGGAGTATAAGCCAAAAATTTAGAAGCTGAGTAAATCTGTTATCTTATAATTCGACTTATACTGATTTTCCCACCAAAAAAAGGTATTTTGTAATTTATATTATGAAGCCCAAGTTCAATAGTGACCCTAATAGAAAGTATTGATTTATCCTACGTTTTACACTAAGTATAGATGACTGAAATTAACTTACCCAAAATTTTGACATACATACTCCTTTGCCACACACGATAGATATATGTTATATAGTGTAGAGCCCAAACAGAAAAGCAATGGTCAAAGTGGTTTATATTTATTACCTTCTTAAGGCCTTAAGAGTTTCTTGGTGTTTATTCCTGGTTTTTATTTAAATTAGATTTTGAAGAAGCTCTTTTTTATGTTCATATTCTGAATATTTATGAACAGAGAATACTTCTGTAGTTTCTGATGAAATATTTATTAAAAATTTCAGAGAAATAAACCCATCTATAATCGATATAATTTTATCCATGGCAATGTAAGATTGATCTCTGACAATTGATCTCACATATTCGCATGGTTGTCAAACATTCCGGCAAATTCATTGAAACAAAGTTTGTAAAAAATTTAATCAATTAAACTACATGATTTATTTGAAAGGTAAAAGTAGTCATAAACCTTTTTGTTTTATACAATATGTAATTTTGTATTTTTTTATTGATATCGTGCTGAACATATTACTATCAACAATCTATACATATATTATGGAAATATGATTTCAATGATTGTTTTCAAACCTTCATAACGGAGGTATAATTTTGCTTTAATTTGTATGTATAGGTGCGATCGTTTATTCAGGGGTTTGGGATGAGCCAAATGTGGAGTACTTTACATATATGCAAACTTCCACGTGCTTAGGAGAGACTCGTTAAGGCGGGCCTACACGAACTTACATCTCTTTGATCTTGAACAAAAAACATGGAGGAGCTTGTACCAACTTGTATATCTTGTACAAGCCATATACTAATTCGCGAGAGCCTTGTACACGCTCCACAAGCTTAAGAGAGCCACCGCAAACTTAGGCGAGCCTCCAAGAACGAAGAAGTTGTCTTGGGAGTTAACCTGATCTATACTATACTCTACAATGTAATCAAATATATATTTTTTTGTTTTAGTATATTACCAGCGTTCGCATGCATCTCGCAAAATTGGGAACACTGACCAAACCGACATGTGAAAGCATTATTAAAGGAATTTCTTTAGTTTGCAATAAACGGAGTTGTTAAATTTTTCAAATCATGGGAATATTTTCTTAAAATAAGAGTTTAACTAGTTAATTGTTATTTATTTTTCTACTATTTAATAAATCAAAATACGAATATTTGTGTTAATTTATTTTCTTTTGCCCTTTTCGTTGAAAAAATAAAAAAATATTTAGATACTTAAAATGTATTTAACGTTATATAAAATATATATAAAAAAATAAGTATTTTTTTAAGTTGTAAATAAAGATAACAATAAATTATAACTTATTTAATTTTTTGAAATGCTTGTTCCAAATCTCCAATTAAATCTTCAACATCCTCTAAACCAACGGACAATCTTATAAGACTATCTGTAATTCCCAAAGTCTTTCTTAATTCAGGAGGAACAGAGGCGTGCGTCATTATAGACCTAAAAAGTATGGAAACCTTATTTTCACTCCGTCTTTCAGTGGGTTAAATTAGATTTTTTTTTATTGTAAAAAAAATATTTTTAAAAGTTCTATGAAAAAACAAAGATAAAATACTCACGGTAACTCAGCTAAGCTTTCATAACCACCCAAACTTTCGGCAAGGGTAAATACTTTTAGGGATGATAAGAATTTTTTCGAATCGTCTAGATTTCCTTTCAAAACGAAAGAGAATACTCCACTATGTCCACTGGTTTCTTTTTTGAACAAGGCGTGTTGCGGATGTGACGGTAAACCTGAAAAAAAAAAAAAAATTTATGAAAGGTGCCTCTAATTCGGCCTGAATTTAAGGTATGAGAAACTGAATAACTTATATAAAAGGAATACCACAAAGAGATCAATTACACACATTAAAGTATACACAAGTTAACCCTTAATCTAGAAATCCTTAAAAAAAAATTTAATTAATTAATCCCGAAATGAATTTGAATAATACAATAAGGTCAACAGTGGACTTAAGAAATGGTAGCGACTCTATCAATGATCTCTGTAAATCCTCATACTTATATTCTCCATGTCTTAAGAGCAAACGGTACCTCTCTCAAAAGCAAAAATGTTTTTAATAGTTTGTGATATTGTTTCTCGAGAATTTAGAGAGCCTTAAATTTGTGAAATGATAGGACTGCACTCTACAGAGACGTTTTAGAAAAAAAAAGTGCAAAACCCTCCCATTTAAAAATTACTAGACCAAATATTTATTAATACAAGGTTTCTCCACCCTAAGTTTTGTTATTATTGGTATTTCCTGAAAATTTCACAAAATTCGGATTTAAAAAAAGGCTCGGAAGGAATTATTTAAATACTGTAACCTTTTGAGATAAAAAAAATAATCTCAAAGATTTTTTTATTTTGGTTGTTACAACAAGAAAAAACAAACATATACACAGGGTGCTAAGAAAAAGAGTAAAATATTTAAAGAGGGTAACAGTATGGAACAAAATAACAATAACAAATAAACATTGGACGGCAAAATAACTTTCCGAGAGGGTATTTTTTAAGGTAGTTCACTCGCGACAGTCGTACACAAAAATATCGCCCTATAGTGAATACCAACCGTTTGAGATTCTTAAATCTAAAGAAAGGTTATTTTTGTAACAGACTGTACACACAACACATGTGATCCTATATACAAATATGGTATTATATCGCGGCAACGTCGTAAATATATTGTGAAACGTCAACTGTATTCCTAAAGTGAAATAAATGTAAATATCAAAATGTTTCATTGTCAGGATCAATTAATTGCGAGATAAAGGAAAATTTGTTAAGCAGAACGTCCTCAACAAACGCAAAAAATCAATTTTGGCTATGAATTGTGCAAAAAAATTGAGAAAGGAAACCCCAAGCTTGAAAAATAACCTGTGCAGTGGTCGCATCGCGGAATTACTAGAGTTGGGAAAATATTTAAAATGTTGCTGGTGTGAAAGAGCTCTTTCTCTTGAAAATATTACAAATGAAACACGAAAGGGCCTTTATTCAATTTAAAATGTTAAATGTAATGAATGTAATATTGAAACTATAGTACCTACGGACAAAGTTCATGCAACAAAAAGTGAAGTTAAGCATTCAGATGTCAACACTAAAGCAGTTCTAGGTAAATTTAAAAAAAAATACATAAGTATTTATGTTTATAATTTTTTTATTATAATTAATATAATTTTATTTATTTAAAGGTGCTGTCCATTCAGGGTTTGGTCAAACTGCTTTAAATAAATTTCTTGCTGTCATGAACGTTCCTACGATATCATCAATACTACAGAAAATCATTACTTTTATTTGTATTTTTTTATTACTTCCTCATACTAGTAAGTTAAAATTTTAAATTACTTTATATTCATTTTTTTTGTGTAACTGTATTTTATTTTGAAGGCATGTTTAAATAAAATTATATTCATCTTTTGCTTATATATTTAATTTTGAAGACATGTTTAAATACAATTAAATTTAAATTGTTAAATCATATCAACCTAAAGTATAAACAACGCCCCTTCCCAGAAGGCCTCGATAAAGTGATAAACTTGACCTGTCCGCGGCAATAAAAGGTTGGGAAGCACTGATCTAACAGACATTTGAATTAGCGGGCGTTGAGTGTATCGATTACAACGTTGCCAAGTTGTAATCACAATACGCCACTATGCGTCGACTGCTTTAAGAACATTTTTATTTTAAAAATCTATATTTCTTTTACAAAACGGTAAAAAAATTTAGCGTTTTTTTTTTAGAAAATTTTATAACGTCTTGATTTACATTACATTAGTTTTTAAAAAATATGGTAAGAACCGTTTTCGAGATATCTTGAAATAAATGCAATGATTGTGTACATGACAGGGCTTCAAGTGTTAATTATGCACATTTTGATTGTTAATATCTCGTTTTACAGACGGTCAAACATTTTTATTTTTTTTATGTACATAAAAGACACTTTCATTAACCTCATATTTCAATTTTATTGAATTCTTAAGAAAGGCCGTTTTACGAGTGAACTACCTTAAAAACATTTAATTGCAATTATTTATGTACAAACAAAAGAAACAAAATTGCACAAGATGTTCAAAGTGTCCTCTTTCCATGCATGCAAGATAGCTTTTTCTGAAGGATATTAGAACTCTCTCTTGTGCAAACGAAAACTTGTGAACTGAAACAACAGTCAAATACTTAATGATTATTTCATAAAACAGCAGTTTTTGAAAAATAAAAAGGAGATAAAAAAGAATAACCTTCCATATCTCCGAAACCGTTACTTTGTAGACCCATGTTTATTTTGGTTCATAGTTATCGCTTCAAATATTTTACACTATTTTTTAACACTGTATATATTATTCACTAAAATTATGGAGGTATTTCATTAAAAAATAACCAACACAACTAACACAAAATGAATATTCAAAAATTATTTTGTGCACCCTACTGTGTAACATTTGAGGGTATTAACAAGACATAGTTTTTCACAGACCAATCGTGAAGAGCTTGGATATCAATTTGGAGAAGAAGGCAATCATTCACATTATGACTAGGTAAATAAAGTTATAGGTCAAAGTAAAAACTTGGAATAATTAAAAATACTATCAATGTCATTGATAAATAGTAAAAACAACAATGGCCGTAAGTGAGAGCCCTCAATTTGGCCTAAAGTACTACTACCAATTCTCACTGGATCCTACCTTTTAAATAACTTTTACAAATAATATACAAGCAAGGTTTATGGAAAATCTAAAAGATCAAGTTTATATAGTAATAATGAATTATTATTTTCGTGATATAATTAGCTTAAATCGTACTATTAGTCTAAATAATTATTTTATTTTTATGTAATATTCTTACCTGGATGTAATACTTTTTCAACACGTGGATGCGTCTCTAAATATTTGGCTACAACCATACCACCCGTTCGGTGCTGCTTCATCCTCAAAGCCAAAGTTTTCAGGCTTCTATTAACTTGGTAACAGTCAAAGGGTGAAGGTATTATTCCCATTGCTACAAAAAAAGAGTGAATTATCAGTGACTCGATAATTAGATATTGGTAGTCTACTAATGACCTGCTAGCTCGCCTGATTTATCTTTTATTTGTTCCGATTTTCTAAATAACGATATTTAGTTTTTTTTTATTTGGAAAATCTTATAGCTTACCGTTTTGCATAAACTTCAGTTTTTCATAAAGCGCATGATCATTTGTAGAAATTGATCCCATGATTACGTCGGAATGACCGTTCATGTATTTGGTGAGTGAGTATACAGCCAAATCGGCTCCTAGATCTAATGGCCTCTGAAGGTATGGAGTTAAGAATGTATTGTCTACAGCCATAATTATGTTGTGTTTTTTAGCGATGGCTGATGCCGCTCTGACGTCGACGACTTTTAAGGTGGGGTTTGTTGGCGTTTCCACCCAGATTAACTAAAAAAAGAAATGAAGGTATTACCAATTAGGGATACTAGTTATATTAAATTAGGATAGAAATACTTTGGATTCTATTAAATAAAAACCTGGAAAGTAACTCCGTTAATCGTCAGTAATAAATAGAAATACGATGTAAATATCGACACAATGCATGACGCGTTTTTCTGGACTGTGTCTATATTGCTATGATATAACGCTAGCTTATTCACAACCCCCAAAAAAAAGTTAAGCGAGGGGCGCCAAAGCAAGTGTTTACTTCAAAAATAAAAACTATAAACGTATATATCAAGGTCAATATTTATTAAGCGATTTAAATACAATTTGGAACAAACATACTATAGTTCAGGACACACTCAGCCGTATGCATAGTCGATCGCCAGAGATTCATTTTGGCGCATCGCCAGCGATAGCCCGAAAAGGCGGCGACTCGCTGGAGATTGTCACCGGCACGTCATTTCACGCAAGTTTTCATGTTCTTTTATAGGGAATAATTTGATATTCGTTCATTGTTTTCGGAGTTTTAAGAAATGAATCAATAATAAAATGCGAGAGATGCCGGTGATAAGCCCTATAAAAGAACATGAAAACTTGCGCCACCTTTTCGGGCTTTCACCAGCGATACGCCGGAATGAATCTCTGGCGATCGACTATGCATACGGGTGACTGAGAATACAGTATGGCCAGGCACAGGCAATGCATTACTAATGGGAGACTGGCACACTGTGTTGCCGTCTTTCCGATAGCTGTGACGGGGTCGGCCCAGTAGTAGTCAATGTTATTAGAGCATGTATTCTCAGTTGCATATATGAGGACCGTTTGTCCTTCTTGATGTCTAATTGGACGGCTTTCTGTAGACAGGAAGCAACTCATAAATTTGTGATTTTTAGACTTCCGCATAATATTGCATTAAGAACATTAATACAAAAAAAGATCCATGCCACATTCTGGTAACAAGCGTTAATTGTTAGCCAATGAATCAACCGAATAAATTGGTTAAGCAAGTAACCTGCCTGGCTGCCAAGCGGCTTGGTTGCTTTCTGCATAATAGAGAGGAGAGTTGGTGACAGTTCGTTATTTGGTTCTCTGCAAGAGTGAGTACGAAGCATAAAAAATAGGAAAACGAATATTTTTGTGTTACAATATGAATAATATTAGCATATCTCAAAGAATTCTGATGACAAAAGTTATTAGATAGGAGAAGGAAAGCAAAGTTAGCTGTTTAAAAACACGTAAGATACTTCTTGTTAAGAAAACAATTTTCAATTTTTCTGAAAAACAATTTTGAAGACAACACGTATGCTAAAATACCGTTTCCTTACAAGACAGTAGCATTGTGAGGACGTTACATAGTGCAAAGCAACATAACGCGGGGGTTTTGACGGCTGTAGTTTGAATGCGCAGAGTGCGTTAGAGTGACTCCGCGAACGCAGAGTGAGCTTCCCGAGTTAAAGAAATTTAAAGGAGGAGAAATGCTCCAATGGAAGTGCGAAAATTGTGATTTTTAATCTTATTTGTTATTTAGTAAATGACGATAAATTGAGTGTGACTGCAGCGGTAAGTCGTGTTTCCAAAATGAGTGGGGTCAGTAAAAATACAATTTATACCATCAAGATAGAGGAGGAATAAAACAATGGCGAATTGAAATCAGCAAGAAGAGAAAGTGGATAAGAGCTTATTGAGAAGAATTGTGCATGATTTTTTTAAATATTTCGCCAACTTTGAATACAATTTATATTATTCGAGGGAATGAGACTTCACCATTGTTCTCTTTAAGAACCCTGCGGATTGATGAAAATATATTGGTTTTGAATATGTGATGCGTGGTCGTAAAAGTATAATGTTGGAACGAAACGACATCATTCATTGGCGGCACATCAAACAATATCGCCAACAAAATTGTAACGTTATCTATTTAGATGGTTAATTATGCAAGGTGTGATATCACCATAAAAAAATCTCTTATACAAAGAGGTCCACGTTTCCTTATTATTCATGCAGGGTTTATACCTGTCGTGTTTTCTTGGCAAAGAAGAACGATTGCGATTATCATAACGAAATGAACGCTAACTATTTTGAGCAATGGTTTTCCTAATTTACCCAAAAATATACGAAAGAACGTTGTTGTTATGGATAACGCTTCATATCATTCCTGTAAATTTAGTTATAAATAAAAAATTGGCTATTTAAAAACTCTTTTTTAAAATCTGAGCCGCTTAAAGTTTCCAACGCATACAGAGAACAATACAACAAATATAAGATTGAGGAAATAGTTGCAAAATACGAGATAACTATGATTTCAAGACACAGGATGTTCATTCATTGATAGATGAGGCATTTGAACTTGTCACTGAACAAAATTGGCGCAATTTCTTTGCACATATTAGAGAAAAAACGGAAAAAGAAATGTTGGTCGCTGATAATCTCCAAGATAACGTTGATGAACTCATTATTAGAGCAAATTGTGGCGACAGTTCTGAGAGCGAGATTTCAGACTTATCTATTACGTAAAATTATTTATTATCGAACAAATTTTGAGATAAAATTCACATAAGACTTCACACAACATTCTCAGTGTGTCTCGCACTATAGACATGATTTAAAATTGAAACTTATACTTCAAAATGACTGATCTCTGGTTTTACCGGAAATACTATTAAATTTAATATTTTGATAAAATATTTTGTTTTTTTGGAGTCCCGTAAAACGGGGTTAATTGGGAACAGCGGGGCTATTTGGGACCTAACGAAAAAAAAAAAAAAAAATGTAGCAATGCCGCCCTAACAGGTGCACGTCTAACCAAAATGTGCGGGCCGCACCACGTGGTAGCATGTTTAGGACAAACGTGATGACTCGCTTCAGTAAGTTAAATTAACTGTTAGAAGCGTGAGATGACTTCAAAGAAATTGTGAAAATCGACGTAAAAAACGATGGTGTCCAACTTTCTGTTCTCGAAATTTGACTGCTGGAGATAAGGTAACTTTGATGGTTGAAACTAATTGTTAGAAGACTGTAGATGACCCAACATAAATACTGTAAAGATATATTACATGTTAGAGTTTTAACAGGCTATTTTCTTTGGTAGGGTAATTTGGGACATCAAAAAACATGAAATATATGACCGGTAACAATGAGTTTTTCGCCTCTAGGCTATAAAAATGGTGCGTAACTATCGAAGGAAGATGAGTAATTGCCGAAAATAAATATTTTTTAAATATTTTTGATAATAATATTATTTGTTTGGGTACAACTACAAAATAAATGTTTTTTTTTTAAATTTAATTTGGGTTTCCCAAAAAGCCCCAACAATCAATATTATTTGAGTTCTAACGCAATTTGCTATTAATCCCAAATAGCCCCACACTACGGGGTAGTTTGGGACAGCTATAAAAGAAAAAAATGTTAGCCCCCTATGTAATGGGGAAGGCTCATTATTTCACATAAGACAGATACACCTACTACCTTTCCAAATATATACATAAACAATGTGGATAATAAGTACATGTTTGAAGTACCAATAAAAAATATTTCAAATTTGTTCCAATTAACCCCGTTCTACGGTCTGCGGGTCAAATTACATATGTCAGTGTTGCCAAATTTTTATTTTTCCTAAATACATTTAAAAAAAAATGTTTATATATAGATGGCCGTGAAGTGGATCTTCTAAGCATGGTGCATATTGTCAGATTGGTAATAAAAATTTTCATCTAATGGCAAAATGGTCCTAATAGGGGCCATTAAAAAAAGTGAGATTTTGGTAAAAAACACGTTTTAGAAAAAATTTTTCTGAAGGATTTATTTTTAAATAAACGAGTAAAGTAGCTTTTGTTTCGAGTTATTCGGGGCTAATAGATCATTCTTTACCAGTTCATGGCCTAAAAAAATTGGACAACACTGTCATAATGTAAAAATACGCGTACATCTGACACTTCTTTCACGACATAAACAAAATATAGAATGTTTATTTGTTTGAAAACAACGAAAATAAAAAGTGAAAAATAAAAGAGCAATGTAAAATAACACAAGTCTCTAATAAAGAAAATAACTCAACCAAAAAGACAGAGACAAAACAAAAAACTTAAAATTTATATTTTTAAAAAACAAACATTTAAAAGAAAAATAAGAAACAAGAAGACACAGCCATACATAATAATAAAAAATAAAATATTTATAGAAACACGAAAACTCACAATTTCTGTGTGTTTACACCGGACTAAACAACTGCAATAAATGTCAGATGTAAACGTACCTAAAACTGAACCGGAGATTCCAAAAAAACAAAATATACAGTGTCATCTATTAAAAAAATCAAAGTATGACATTTCCGGTGAAGGCGAAAGTCGGCCATTTTGTTTAATTTTAAATTATGCCTAGTAGGTTTGTCCCAAATTTGATCCAAATCGTTTCGTAAATAAAAAAAGATAGTGGCCCTGGTCTCATTGTCACCCGGTATAGCGATAGCGTATTTAAAACTAGTCTTCTGCTCGGGTAATAAATAAATGCTTACTAAATAACTAACTAAATATCAAAGTATTATTACCACATTGACTGTCAAGTCAGAATCGTGACAATTTCCCCTCAGGCCAACCGTTTTTTCTCTTTACCGGCGTACTTATGTTTTTGTATTTTTTCTGTTTTTGGCCTTTTTTTTTAAATTTGATACTGTCATACATATATGAATGACACGGCTCCACAGGGAAAAATATTGTAATATTTACTCTATCACAAAACGAAATAGTGGAGAACATCGATGTAGCATAGATTTGACAGATCAATTGGGATCTTACGCTTCCACTTTATGAAACTAGGTCTGGAACTGTTAATAGGTGCGTTTTAATCATCCGCTTCTGCTTCGGAATTGTCGGTTTTCTTGTTTTAATCTGACAGGTTAAAACGACTAAACCGACAATTCCGGAAGCAGAAGCGGATGATTAAAACGCACCTATTGGGAACAGCTGTTGTAAACCCACATAACGTGTGTAAACTTGCAACAAACCAAAAACTTAAAATTACTGAGTTTGGCGAAAGTTTAGCAACTGACCTATTGCAAATTGAATCCCTGATAAGATTAATAAAACCGACCCAACACATTCTTCTGGAAAGAAAAGATGATAGTGGTAAAAAGCTTCGAAGGAATGTGTATTTTGTTACTCCAAAATGCAGAACGAGGTGGGTTGTGAAGTAGCTGGGAAGAAAGTTAAAATGTGAAAAAACGCCCGGAGCCGCCACAAATGTACATGTCGTGTTTCAATTCCAAACATAAATAAATTTCAGTTTATTTTATGTGCTTATTGTAATTATTATTTTCATTAATTTAGGTTTTCAAGTTTTGCAAATTGAAATGTTTTCTTCAATTTAGAGTTGTAAGTTAGTTTAAGTTTAGTTTTGAAAGAATTTTACATTTTATTTTTCAACACTAAAAGAATAAATGCGATTCTTTACACTATATGTTTTTCTTACTCCTGTATCCAAAATACTTCGATTTTTTTCAGGCCAAGTATACCTGAACATCAGTCGGAGGCCAGCGTACAAAAACCCCATTTATAAAGCATAGGCTATCATACAAACGACGCAGCCTGTAGTGAAATATCGACCGTCATACATATATAAATGACGCGGCCGTAACGGAAAGCTACCTGTTATACATATATATGTATGACGTGGCAGTCAGTGTGTTAAAAGAATCACGCCATCATTCAACTATACTTTATCTCTGAATTGACGTTGACGTTTCTATCTTTAAAGATTTACTAGTAGTAGTATTTAAAAATGTCTTGTGAATATGCATGCAAATACATTTTATTTATATAAAAAAAAAATTCTATTCAATTCTACCAGAATATTTACAATTTAAAGCTATTAGATTTTGAATATTCTATGCCATGCGATAGGCGAATTTTGATAAAATAAAAGAAATAAGTATATACAAATAAACGTTTTTGTAAATGTTTTACGTAGAACAATGGTGGTTAAATTTGAAAATATCACGACAAAATTATGAACGTTCGTTTTTGAACATCATATACTTACTGTCCCTTTTTATACATACATGTAATTCAAAAACACCCGGTGTATATTTTATACTACATACAAAAAACTAAATTTAAAAGTTACCTACCTTAGTATTTGGCCTAATGGCTTTCTCAAGATTAGATATATCGACCAAGTCGATAAGAGTTACTTCAATATTAAAATTAGAAAATACTTTGTTGAAAAGACGATTCGTACCCCCATATACATCGTCTCCTACTATGATGTTATCTCCACTTTTAAGAAGTCCAGCGATGGCTGTAATGGCACCTAAACCGGAAGAGAATGTTAAACCGTATGAGGCATTGTCTAATTTGGCTAAAACATTTTCCAGGACGTTTCTGGTTGGGTTTCCTGATCTCCCATATTCGTATTGCTGAAAAAAATATTCACATACACCAACTGCGTTCTTTTACATATTGTGGATGAGTGATCCACAAAAATGTTTCTAAAGTAGGTATTGACAAAAGCACGCATGTCGGAGCGTACGAAACTTCTTTTTTAAATGACAATTTATTTCATTCTGAACAGTTGTCTATGCTTTGCCTATGGACTTCGAAATTTTTTCATAATCTCAAATAAAATGAAAGAATCGAGGTTGGTTAACTTGATATAGTATAGTTATTACGGACGTGACACGTATCTGTCTTTTTCAATCATTGCCTACTTGAGAAACATTTTTGTGGATCACTCATTATGATTATTAGTTACCTTTACGAACAATATTTGAACTTTACATTTATTTTAATGAAAAACGTAATATTTTACCTTAAAATTCGCTGGTCCGTGTTGTTTGAAAGTAGTAGAAGAAACTAAAGGTGCAACTACAGCCATAGAATCCCACTGTTCGGGTTCCTGAGAATGGTGAATCGCAGATGTGGCGAATCCTTTGGGGTACGGCAAATATCCGTCATCTTGATTGTGGCTGTGTCCGTTTACTTGTGCCATTCTCGCTTAATACAATTTCTATAAATTAATATATTGTATGAGAATTTTAATTTACCTGCAGTAAGAAGACAACTGATAGTACAAAAATGATTAACTATAGGATACAAATGACAATATCTACATGTTATTCTAGATTCAATTTGTAAAATCCTACACGATTTTGAACTCATACCTTCAATGTACTAGTACACGAAGCGTTTTAGAACATATGTTTATTAAACAAAAAAAAATTTACGTTCATGTCCCTTAAGATACCATTCGGGTAGGCGCGTCAGGAGACAAGCGACCACTGAAGTGACCCTAAGGTCGAGTAGGAAGACAGATGCATAAATGTTACGCTTCGTACATTTCGCAAGCTTGAGAAGTGTCGCGCGACATTTACAGAGATAACCATTCGAGGGAACAATCATCGTTGCCAGACCTACTGTTTTCACGTAGATCTGTTTTTGTCTCTAGCAAATTTTGTTCTTAATTTATTAAGTTTGCCTCATTCTTCAGCAAATGGTTAAAGAACATTTTCTCTAGTAAATTTTCTGCAGTAAAAGCAGCGTAATAAGCAGCCACTATTGTAGGTTTGTTTTTATTTAAACTGCAACAAAGAATTAATAGGACAACATAAAAAGAATATGCATGTACGTATTTGAATTATTTGACTGATCTGAAAGAAATACCTATTATTTTCCATTAGTTTTTTTTTTGTTTCCTGACGTTAAGTATATAATAAAAATTTATTTTTCGTTTCTTATATAATTATTTGTTTTTTTTTATTTACTACACTGTAAATTATAATTATTTCCACCTGTACTAAAATCTACCGTTAAGATTCAATGATCTATTATTTTTTTTCGCTATTTTCATCTGGCAACTCTGGCCGACAGATCGATAGAACTTGTATCATTATTCAGTTCGGAGAGAGTGGTTTTTGTGGAAACATATTATTAGGAGTTATTTCTAAAAAAATGATCAAAAGACGAATATTAAAAATGTTACTCGAGGTGGAAGAGGATGATGACAACTTGTATTTTTTATATAAAACAAGGCGACCAATGAATTCAATGTATAAAAATAGAAGTACAGAAGGAATTTATTCTGTGTTAATAAACACTCATTTAGCTCTAAACGAAGACAAATTCAGACAATTTTTCAGGTTAAATAAAAATCAGTTTAATTATATATTAAGTTTGCCTCATTCTTCAGCAAATGGTTAAAGAATATTTTCTCTAGTAAATTTTCTGCAGTAAAAGCAGCGTAATAAGCATCCACTACTGTAGGTTGGCTTCATAAAAAAAACATCAAGATAATCATTGTTTTTATTTAAAATGAAACAAAGAATTAATAGGGCATCATAAAAAGAACATGCACACTACAATTTTGAATTATCTGATTCAGACTGATCTAAAAGAAGTAGGTACCTATTATTTTTCATTGTTTTTTTTTTTTGTTTCCGTACGTTAAGTATATATTAAAAATGTTATTATTTGTTTTTATTCTTTGTTTGGGTCGAAAAAAGTTTATTTTTCGTTTCTTATATACTTGTTTTTTTATTTACTACACTGCAAATTTTAATTATTTCCCCCTGTATTAAAATCTACTGTTCAGATCTACGGTTTTTTTTTACCCATACTGTTCCAAAATCTGGCAACACTGCCTAGATCGAAAGAAATTTTCAACCTATTCACCTCCAAGCGATGCTCGAGGACAGTGACCTCGAGTGCGACAGGCAGCAAACCTTTGCCCCGAGTCAGATTCAGAAGTGTCGTCTGACGACACTTCTCGTGTCGCGCCGTGCGAAATGTGTTTCATATAATTGTATGTATTTTAGATGTGAAGCGACACTTCTCGGTCGCGTCGGCGGTCGTATGTCGCGTCGGCGGTCGTATGTCGCGTCAGCGGTCGTATGTCGCGTCGGCGGTCGTCTGTCGCGCCTACCGAAATGGTACCTTTAGCACCCCGAAAACTTTGTCGGTATATTTAACGTATATACTTTTAACTGGATTTGATCTACTCAAAATCGTGTAGGATTTTAAAAATTAAAGCTTGAAGATACAATATAGGTTTATAATTTATATCAGATAATCTAAATAATAACTTTTGTTTCTTTTCTTAAAATATAGGCCAGTAAGCAGGTGAAAAATTTAACATTTTTTAAACTTCGTGGTAAGATAAAGTACCTACCGAATGAATCGAAATTAGCCGATTTTGCAACTCGATACAGGGGCGACATCCAACCGATTTGTAAATTTTTATTATTGCTAGTTTCGAATTTTGCCGAATCATTTTTAGATATTTTTGATATTAATTCAAGTTGCACTTTTTGAGCGTGATAAGAAAATATTTTTTTTTCTTTTATTGAATAAATGAGAAGTTAATATTGTTTGAAATATTTTTATTACCTTACAATGCATGTAGGTTATTCAGGAATTTTTATCATTGAAACTATAGGTTTATGGTAACTGAAATAAGAAACATAAGTTTGAGACTTGATATCCTCTAAATATCTGGAAAATACCGCGTCAATGGTGATCCCATATTTTTTTTGTGGATTCTAGTGGATCATTATTCATTTTCAAATTCAATTTTTCCGAAATTGTGTCTAAAAGAGATAGAATCAGTTATGAGCAGTTAGCAGCTAGTCTACACGCATACGTCTAGTCGAACGCACACAAACACCGTGCCGAAGTCTGCCGAACTGAAACGACGTTAGACGATGCACGGCTTTCAACGCCGCACCGCTGTGCCGGTTGGAGTTGGGAGTGTTAGGTTTATTTTCGTTACGGAATTTCTTTTTCGATTTTACGATTTGATTTTTAGATTTTTTGGTTTTTCGATTTTTCGATTTTTCGGATTTTTTGAGTTTTTTATTTTTCGGTTTTTCGATTTTACGGTTTTTCGATTTTTCGGTTTTTTGATTTTTCGGTTTTTCGATTTTTTGATTTTTCGTTTTTTTCGATTTTTCGGATTTTTATTTTTCGGTTTTTCGATTTTTCGACTTTTCGATTTTCTTTTATTGAATAAATGAGAAGTTAATATTGTTTAACGCCGCACCGCTGTGCCATTATCGGAAAGAATTGCAAATTTTCATAGGAATTTAAGGTTTATATTATCCTACAAAAGTTACTTTTCGCTAACGCGAGATGGAGTCACGATAGTACAAATTTAATAAGATTAGCGGTAATTAATAGTTTTCTGTAGCTACAAATATTGCTAATATTGCTAGTTGATACATAAAACAAAAGAGAGCAACACTTTATATAGATAACGTAAGTATTATTAAGCCGCGGAGAGATAAAATCACCTAGTATATATTTTCGTTGAGTAGTGGAAATGGTAGTTTTTGATTTGAAGATTTAAATGGCATAGGTTGTCCAAAACACGCCCTGTGGAAAGCCAGATATTATCAGTTTAATATATGTTTCAAAAGTAAAAAATTATCCTTAAAATAATATTACAAAATCCAAGTTTTTTTCTGTATCCTGTTAGACACAATTTTTTAAATTTCAAAATTGCATGGTCGTAAATGGCACAAAATTATATAAACATTTATTTATCTTCATTTGGTACGTCCAAAAAATTACCAATTTTTTAACTATATAGGCCAATATCATAAAAACTGTGCAAAAATGTATTCTTGATTATTACTAGATAAAGACTTAAGGATTCAAATAGTTGTCAAATCACAATTTTATCCTAAATAATAAGAGAGATAATTAAAAGAAACTGGGACTATGTCATCATTTTGTCGGGAGTACTGTAGAAATAATTTCGATGCTGAACCAAATCAATTTTGTAAACACATATACATCGGATAAAGCGGTCAACTATTCAGCTATGTTACTGTTTAAATTATATGAATTGGTACCTTATAAAAAGTCTGTACCATAACCAGGTTGGGCAAAATACAGAATACAAGAATTTTTACTTGTGGAACATGTATTCTAAATAAAATGAAATGCGATAAACTATTGAGACGTGATATTTTTATAGTTTTAATGTAATCACACTTTAGGTGCAAAATAAGAAGAAATATCTGTAAAAATTAATTAGTCAGTTTGTTTTAACTTGTATCAGTTGTATCTGGAGTTAGAGCTTAATTTTTTAAATAACTTCATATCGACCAAAATAAATAATATTAATGTTTTAAAAGTTTTGGGCATTTATTTTATAGTTTAGTTGTTAGAAGTTAATAAAAACGCTAATAAAATGCCTCGATTATTTCCCAAATAACCTCGTCGGGCTTGGAATTTTCGAAAAACTAATATGTAAGTTCTTGAGTAACTATTTATGTAGGTATAACGCAGAGTTATAGGTAAATATTAAAAATTTTTAATCTATAATGTTTTCAATATGCTATCAAACACGGCATGTGACAAATTTCGCATAATTTTGAATTATTACAAAATATTATGACCACCCTGTATCGAATTGCAAAATCGCCAAGTTTCGATTTATTCGGAACTTTATCTTAGCCTTAGATTATACAAACCTTAGATGGAACATAAGACACTGCGCATAATCCCATTTCGAAATTATTCACACCCACCAATCACAGTTGAGAACATCACATGTCAGAGAGTTGTCCATCCAAATTTAATGTGTCAATGAGAATTAATTTGGTATTTGTGACTTAAATTTTGGAAATTAACGTTGAAAATGCCAAGATGTGTTGTAAGAAGCTTTATTTATAATAAAAGTGCGAAATGTGACGGAGATAAAAGAAACTTATATTTATTTCGGTGAGATATTTAATTTTAAAAGATTCTGTCGACGTCCATATTTGTTGATTTGAAAATAAACAGAATCGGACTTGGTCATTGGTACATGTTATAAGTAGCAAATAAAGGTTATTTTTATATACTGTTTACTATTTCTTGTTTCATGGGAATCTGTTTTTAAGAAGTGGAAAGAGAAACATACAATCAAATACAAAAATATCAATTTCATTGCCAATTTATTCGTTTCAAACTTCACAACTGGTTTCAATAGTTTTTTCAAAACTATTTAGTATTTCTCTATAACAG